ACTGCACCATAGTGGTGATAGCAGGCCTACATGGGCACAGAAGGTGACTTTGGCTACAAGTCTGTCCACAAAACAAACAAAAAACAGATGACCAGGTACACTGCCCACAGCTCTGACAACTGAAAGAATTTCGTTAACCAGTGATTTTTAAAAGCCCCACTGAATGGGACATTTTAGTTTTCTACTAACATATGGATTAACCTATCTACAAACCAAGCTTGGGTTTCTCCTCTTTATCAGCAGGTTATAGAAACCCTGTCACGAAACTAAAACTGAGCTGACAGAGAAGCATCAGTGGAACAGTGACAGTTGACATAGAGTCAGGGGCCACTGATTTGTAAGCGCCTCCTGGATCAGCCTGAGATTGATCCCATATATACCATTCTCGTCTTACCATGAATTGTTACTGTACATACCTGAACTTTTGATTTGACGAGTCTGTCACTACTCAATTCATGGTGGGTAGTTATGCCACGTGATCACATTAAAAATCCCTGACAAACACTCTTTTTCTATAGCACAGAAGCATACCAAGAGCTATGGTTTGCATAATATGATTCAGATAGTATGCCTTGCTACAGAACCTTAGAAGTGTCCACTGTGATTCTTTTCAAGTACTTGCCAGATATCCCACATGGCATCCATTTATATCATTGATGCCATAGTATCATGAATCTTCCAGCATATAAAGCCCAAGTGTGAGGGTGGCTTGTACTTCAGCCTTACCTACTGCATACCCCTGTCTTGCTCTAGGCCCCTCCCAAAACTTGAAACTTTCTGTATCACTCAATAAATGTGCAGAGAAATGTTTCCTAGTGCAATTATATGCTGCCTCCAAAACCCAAAACGGCCTATCAAGCACTGTTTTACCTCTTGGCAGTAAAAGTTGCAAGGTACAACTCACACTTTGCTATGAATGGGATGTCCCGGTGTGCTCAAGATGTCTGGACATCTGAAAGCTTAAAAGGTAGAAGGCTCCTAAAACTTTGTATGTTTGTCTTCCTTTCTCCGAAGTGCATGTGTTTTATCAAGACAGCCAAATAATTGCCACTTATTTGTCAGGTCCAACTATCATGTCATCAATACAGTGGGCCAGTGTTAGATTCTGCAGAATACCAGATTGATACTGGTCCCTTTAGTCTATATAATGAAACTAAGAAGAATTAGCCTAAGCATTTCTTAATGAATCTCTTATTTTTAATTGGATAAAATTATATTCTTTGCTGGAGTAAAATGATATTGAGAAGCCTATGATTTTGCAGCACCTATATTTGGCAAAATGTTCAAATAATCATAATTAGAGAAAACTGACTTGACAAGTGTTACATTTTAAAGTATTTGTCAAAGAAAAACACTCAACGGAAAATAATCGTGAATATATTTGGTCTCGAATATTTAGACATTTTAATATTAAAAAAATAGAATTGAAAATAAGCTTCTCAGCCAGGCACAGTAGCTCATGCTAATACCAGCACTTTGAGCGGTCAAGGCTGGAGAATCACTTGAGGCCAGGAGTTCCAGGCCAGCCTGGGCAATATTGCAAAACCCCATCTCTACCAAAAAATACAAAAATTAGCCAGGCATGGTGCTGCACGCCTGTAGTCTCAGATACGCTAGATAGTGCCACTGTACCTCAGTCTGGGTGACAGAGCAAGACTGTGTAAAAAAGAAAAAAAAAAAAAAAAAAAAAAAAAAAAAAAAAAAAAAAAAAAAAAAAAAAAAAAAAAAAAAAAAAAAAAAAAAAACAGAAAAGAAAATAAAAGAAGCTTATCTCAACTCTCTCTCTCAGTTAAAAATACAGTGGCTTACAGAGAAGAAACATTTGAGTGTCAACTTTCACATTTATTAACTATGAAATGCAACTTTGAGAAGGATTGCAGACAATTTTATAGAAAAGCAATGAAAACAATCATTTTTCAGAAGAACTTTGGTGACATGGTATTAAGGAAAGATGTATCTAAAGAACTGATTAATACCACCAATGGCATTCTTCACAGAAATACAAAAAATAATTCTAAAATTTACATGGAACCACAAAAGGCCCAGAATAGCCAAAGCCATCTTAGGCAAAAAGTACAAAACAGAAAGAATCACATTACTTGACTTCAAATTATGCTACAGAGCTGTAGGAACCAAAACACACGGTACTGGCATGCAAACAGACACATAGACCAATGAAAGAGAATAGAGAATCCAGAAATAAACCCATGCTTCTACAGTGAACTTATTTTCACCAAAGGTGCCAAGAACATACACTGGAGAAAAGATAGTTTCTTCAGTAAGCAGTGCTGGAAAAACTAGATAGCCATATGCAGAATGAAACTAGACTCCTGTCTCTCGCCATACACAAAATCAAATTAAAATGAGCTAAAGACTTAAAACTAAGACCTCAAACTATAAACCTACTAAAATAAAATTTGGGGGAAACTCTCCAGGACATTGGTCTTGGCAAAGATTTCTTAAGCAATGACCTGCAAGCCCATGCCAAAGCAAAAATGGGCAAATGGGATCACATCAAGTTAAAAAGTTGCACAGCAAAGGAAACAATCAATAAAGTTTAGAGACAGCCCAAAGATTGTGGTAAAATATTGACATCTACCCATCTAACAAAGGATTTTTAACTAGAATATGTAAGCAACTCAAACAACTCTACAGGAAAAAAATCTCATAATCCAATTTAAAAATGGGCAAAGGATCTGAATAGACATTTCTCAAAAGAAACATAACAAATGGTAAATGAGCATGTGAAAAGATTTCCAACATCACTGATCATCGAGAAATGCCAATCAAAACTACAATGAGATATTATATCGCCCCAGTTAAGATGTATCTTATCCAAAAGACAAGTAATAACACATGCTGGTGAGGAAGTAGAGAAAAGGGAACACTTGGACACTGTTGGTGGGAATGTAAATTAATGCAGTCACTATGGAGAACAGTATGGAGCTTCCACACAAAACTAAAAATAGAACTACCATGTGATCCAGCAATCTAACAGCATGATTATTAAAAAATATTGTGAAAAAGAAAGGAAATCAGTATATTGAAGATACATCTAAACTCCCACATTTATTTCAGCACTATTCACAATAGCCAAGGTTTGGAAGCAACTTAAGTGTTCAAACACAGAGAAATGAATGAAGGGAATGTGGTACATATACACAATGGAGTATTATTCAGTCATGAAAAAGAATGAGATCCTGTTATTTTTAACAATGTAGATAAAACCTGAGGACACTATGTTAAGTGAAATAATTCAGGCACAGAAAGATAAACTTCACATGTTCTCATGCATTTCCTAGGGCTAAAAATTAAAATGATTGGCCAGGCATTGTGGCTTGTGCCTGTAATTCCAGCACTTTGGGAGGCCAAGGCGGGAGGATCATGAGGTCAAGAGATGGAGACCACCCTGATCAACATGGTGAAACCCCATCTCTACTAAAAAAATACAAAAATTAGTTGAGTGTGGTGGTGCATGCCTGTAATCTCAGCTACTTGGGAGGCTGAGACAGGAGAATCACTTGAACCCCAGAGGCAGAGGTTGCTGTGAGTCGAGACTGCACCACTGCACTCCAGCCTGGCAACAAAGCAAGACTCCATCAAAAAATAAAAAAGAGAGAGAGAGAAAGAAAGAAAAGAAAAGAAAGAAAAATTAAAACAATTGAACTCATGAATTCATGGAGATAGAGAATAGGATGATGGGTTATCAGGAGCTGGGAAGGAAAGTGGAGGTGGTGGGAGTGGGGATTGTACATGGGTACAAAAATATATGGAATGAGTGAGAGCTAGTATTTAATAGCAGAACAAGGTGACTATAGTCAACAATAATTTATTTTACATTTAAAGTAACCAAAAGTATAAAATTAGAACCTTTGTAATATAAGAAATGATAAATGCTTGAAGTGATGGATACCCCATTTACCCTGATGTGATTATTAGTATTGTATGCCTGTATCAAAATATCTCATGTATTTCATAAATATGTATATCCAGTATGTAGCCATAAAATTTTTAAAAAATTAAGTGAAACAGGAACTGATTAAAGTACATAAATATGAACCATAAATGCTTTTCCTTCTTGTTTCATTGTTATTATTGGGATAATAAATATAAAAAATAGAATGTTTTAATTTCCAAGGTATATGTGTTTTAAAAATAATTTTACTTGTGACAATCGTTTTGAATACAGTTGTGTAGATCACCAATATAAAAAAAATATAGCAGTCAATAAATATTTCAAAAATGTTATCCTTTTATTTTTAAAGGGCCTTTTAATTCTCAGAAGTGTAAAGATTTTGATAATAAATTAGAGTCAGCCAGATAAAATGAAATAAAAACTGGCACCAAAAATGAAGGTTAGATGGGGATATTATTGGACCAATGGATACATTGGGTATGTTGAGTCTGAAATTTCCTCACCATATCTATACAAAAATGATATATTTGCAACGTAAAATGTAAGTCTAGAGCTCAGGAGGGAGGTAGAGGCTGGGTACTGATCTAGAAGCTATCAGCTTACAAAATGTGCCAAAACTATGGGAGTATCTGAATCAAAACATGGAATAATATAAAAAGGAAACGTTGGCCAAGTCTGGAATTCAAGGATAGCATTAGAGCCTCTAGGGAGAAAAAATAGCAATGATTAGGGAGAGCACAGTAATATGAGTAACTATGATCAAGCCAAGTTAAGGCAAGTCCTCTGATATATACATGTAAAACATAAACCAAGAAATAAAGTAGTATCACAGTGATTAGAACTTGGTCAAACACTGAAAGATGATAACAACAGGAGAGACTTGATGCTGAGTCTCAGCCTTGAGGTAAGGAAGGTGTCAATAACTGTATTTAAAAAAGATTTGAACATTAGAGAACCAGAGTGAGGTCTAACTCCATGTTCTAGGTTATTAGGCAAGACTTTGATTCCATCTTTTGAACAATTTTTAGTGAACAGAGCCAGGCACTCATTACACAGTAAGGTTACTTATTCTTCCTTCTTGCAGAATCCATGTGATGATAAACGACACAAAGACATCTGGTCCAGAGAGAAAACTTGTGACCACTTACCAAAATTTCTAGTAATTGGTCCACAAAAAACAGGTAAAAATAGCCACTTATGCCGCTTATATTTTTTAAAAAACTATTTCATGAAATACATTATTATATGGTGTTATCAGATTAAATTTTTCTTTGTGAAATGTTTAGCTACCCATGCAAGTTTACTATACGAACTGCTTTTCATATCCATCAATCACATTTATGCCATGAACCTCAAGAGGTCTTAATGCACACTAATTGTCTTAAGCACTAAATTTTCAAACTATAGATTTTAAAAGTTTTCAACATACATGTCAAATTTGGAAAACTTTGAACTTATATGTCACAATTGTTGTCCCTCATCTTTAATTGTTACTTTTTATGGTTTTATTTAACTAAGTTCTATAGCAATTTATAAAAACATGTTTTGGCCTGATTCAAACTATTTTACATGGTACATCAGCCTTTGAATTGATTTTTGTTCAGAGCCACTGCCATGATTGCTTTCACATATTTTAATGTGTGATTTGGTTTTTCTAAATTAATAATTAGGTATTAGCAAAGTTTGGATTTACTTTCTGAAACACTTGAGGTCCATCAGGCATTTCTTCCTTGGTATTTCCTCATGCACTGAAGGACAACTGTGTAAGAATGCAGTAAAGAGGGTGAAAGTATTTCACCAATGAGGTGACACTTTCAATTAGAATATTTTATACTTTCTTCTGTATGTGACAGTTTTATACACTTTGCTCATGTCCTGATTAATTAAAGTTTTTATTGAGTTGCTGTATTTTGAATTCACTGCTTTGACTAGAAGAAGCATTTTCATCAGTGAGTGCACAAACCATAACACAAAACAAACAGTCTCTATAACTAAGCCTGGCCCAGGTGAAGATATTTGTAATACAAGTAAGTAGATCATTTCAAAAGTTGTGGGTAAACTTCCCAGACTATTAAATATTGGTTGTTGAAATCTTTTCTTCCTCTAGTAATATAAATTGTATTACAACTGTAAGTTAACACATGTGCAGGGAGGGGAAAGAGCAACACACATTTTCAGATAGGTCACTTTTGTTGTTGTTTAAAATGTACATTAATTTTCTACCAACTCCCTTACAGCATTGCTAACTCCTGAATGACTGCTAAAGAAATAAAACATCCCTGTGTTGTAAACTTGTGTTAAAAATCTAATAGAAAGACATTCCCTATCATTTGTCATTGAATATTATTATGTTTTAGTTCTGTGAGAAAATTACAGCTTAGTAACTATAAATCTATTTTTCCTTCTTGTTGTTTGTATTTATAAAGACATCAAGCTATACATTTAGACTTTTATATTTGACCTACCAGTATAGAAATAATAAAGCTTTTAGCTGGTTTTGGCTTTCCTAAGACAAACAAGCAAATAAGATGTTAAAACAAAGGAATCAGATGGTAATAATATTTCACAGGCTATGAAAATATTATTCTAATATAAAAATGGTTGCAGTGATTCTTAAAATCCAATTATAGAAGTCTGACGTCATAGTTTGTTCTTCTTATTGCTTCAGCTGGCAAACACCCGCTGCTGACAGAGACTATAAATTCAATGAGGGGTGGGGGTCACAAATAAGTGCTGCCTATCTACCCTTAAATGCAAAGTTGCCTTTCAATGACTTAAACGTGGTGTATGCATCTGTTACAATAAGCATGGGTACAAAAGTGGTTCTCAAACTTCTATTTACTCAGTTGTTGTGAGGTGAGAATGGAAGCACGTGATATTTCACTTTGCCATTGCTGAATCCTAGAAGAGATTCCTGTGAGCTGAAATATGTCAGGGAATGAGGAAGAGGAGAAGAGAAATAGGCAGAGATGATGGACATAGACTTAGGGACATTAGACTTAAGGGACTCAAAGTTTAAATCATAGTCCCTTGTGAACCTTTGGACAGATATTCAACCTTCATCGTTCAGAGTCAAATTCTGGTACTGTCAGTGTAAAAAGAGGATTCTAATGAGGTTATTATATTTAGCACAACAATTGTAAGAGCATAATTCATTGCTCTTAGATCCTTCAGAAGTTCAGTGTTCCCATTGTCAATATTAATTTTTCATGATTTTCCTGGCTTATCCTGGTACATTAAAACTAAGGAGAAGTTGATTGTATATAAAATAAATCGTTTCTGTTAGTATAGGATTTTTTCCTCTTCTTTCACAAAATATATCAAAGAAATTGATATAAAATGAAATGAAATAAATTAATAGAAAATGAAAGTCAAGGGTAAATGAAACGTTAGATGACAATTTTTTAATGTATATTTTGAGGTAGTGGGCCCAGATTTTTTCTGTCCCTAGTTGAGAGGGCTTTCTCCCTCCTCCCTATCAGACGCCTCTTGATGTCCCTCAAGGTCCTGGAGGCATGAAGGTATAGAGTTCAGAACATAAAGGCTTTGACTTTCTGTAGGCCAGGGGAGATCTGGGTACAATTCTGTGACCATCACGGTAATTAAACATTTCTACTCACTGCCGAGTGAGTCTGTAAAGTATCTATATTTAGATAACCAGCAACAATTAAAGAATCCATGCCCTGCATTCATCTACATTCAATACCTTAGGAATATTAAACTTTTAATTTTCTCATTTGTCTTATATGAATCAAACTTCTCTTTCTCTCCATCCCCTTTGTGAAAGTGTTATCTTAAAAGGTATTTGAAAAGAACACTTCCGGATTTCATGTTTCCTTCCAGCTTGTACTCTATTGCTAATTCATTTCCCTAAAACACTTTTTTTGTTTTTGCTCTTCTCACATGTTCTCTTTTTTAAACTCCTATTATTTTTAGGAACAAATCAGGTAAGCTCTTCAAGATGCCCCTCATCCCTCAAAGCTATTACATCTGTTTTTTTCAGTTTGGTTGAGAGATTTCTTCTGTCTAAACTTTAGGACTCTAATTTAGTTCTTAACCAGTTCTGCCTTCTTCATTTTTTTTTAAATCTAGTCTGCATAATTTGATTTCATATTTGTTATTCCTAAACGTCTTTTTAAATTAGTAACTAAATCTCCATAAGGACACTTACTAATTTTTGCCATCTTATTTCACACAGAGTCATTCATTCTAGGTGTTTTAACATGTCTTCCGTCCATGGTGGCTAGTCCCCATGGATCCGTTGTTACGTTCTTTCCTTTAGCTACTCATTACCTCTTGGTGGCAAGAGGTAACATAAAGCTGTGAGGATCTAAAAAGGTGGCAATTTCATTAATACTCAAAGTGTGGTAGCCTTTGCTTATATGATCTTAGGGTATATGTGAACAAAATACCAATTATCTACTGGCCTTCTCTACTTCTGATCCCAGTTGCAATGATAATCATTCTGCCAGCACACACATGTCTGCAGCTCTGCTAGGTCTAGGACATCTAACAAATGCTGCATCTTCCAATGTATCACAGAACAGTTTACCTTTCAAGAAGAGAAGTCTTGATTAATGAGAGTTATGATGACCCAGTCACTTCATGAGTTCTTTCTGCTATAGCTGCCAGTCTCTGGCCTAAATCTGAAGGAAATAAGATTCAGAGATTACATTTGAGACTTCTGCAATGTGCACACAGGTGGGTTCTCACAGCTAGGCTGTTCTCTCTAGTGCTCCAATTATCAGGCTTGATTGTCATATTTTGCCAGGGAAGTCACTGAAGCAGCCAACTTTCTAGAGTCCTGCCCTCTTCTTTCAACCTTGCTGTGTAACACTTATGTTTTAAAGGAACAGTATTAGAATGTACTTCCCTCTGGAATCTGCCTCACTGATTTCCCATCTAAATCACCCATTTTCTCATATGTTAGAAAGATATTCTGGTCTTCTCTCATTATTGCACCTGTCACACTACATCACAATTACTTTTTTACTTGTTCCAAGTTCATACATGGACTTTAAGTTCATTGAGGGCAGCAAATGTATTTTCGTAATCAAGAGTTACTTCCAGGCCATAAACAGAGTAGCATATCAACCTCTGTTGAATAGTTTGATTTCATTCATCTCAATGTCCATGCTAGTTGAAGACCCACCAGTTCAGGTTCTGTGACTGATGATAAAGATGGAGAGAGAGAAACCCATGCCCTTCATGCTCTGGCCATTCACCTGACTCCAGGAAGAAAGTTGAGCTGCATGACTTCTGCAGTGCCACACTAGTCACATCATCAATCTGCTTTACTTTGGCTATTTGCTAATATTAAATCAGGCATTATGATAAATAGAATCATGAAGACTAATAATAGACCATTTGGATTGTAGTACATGGATTGCACCTAATTGATTTAAAAAAATGATATTTATACTGGAAATAGTTGATTATTTTAATATTACTTTTTCAGCAAAAAAATGCTAAAATAATATTTTGTTTCTTATTATCATATAACACTTTACCTTCTTTTTTGTAATAGGAACAACTGCACTTTATTTATTTCTTCTTATGCATCCTTCAATCATCAGCAATCTCCCTAGTCCAAAGACATTTGAAGAAGTTCAGTTCTTTAATGGCAACAACTATCACAAGGGAATAGACTGGTAAGAAAAAGTAACAAAAAATAAATTCCGCTATTAACACATGCCCAATCACTGCAGAGCAATTATAGATGTATGTGTGGCATCTGCATAATTACAGGATAAATTTGTTATGCTCAATTCTATCCACAGTGAATTAGAAATTAATGTATAATGTTGATATGTTTAATCAGTGTTGCCTATAATGTGATTTGGACAGTGCAATAATGATAATATTTTTCTGCTAAATTAATATGATTGAATAAAGAACATTATGGTATATATTTCATCAGAATTATTTATAAGGGTATTTAAAATTCTCTTTAAGTATAGTATTATTTAACTGTGCCTAATTTTTTTTTCTGAACACATGATTTGTCTTCACAACAATGTTTGAGGGAACAAATAAATCATTACATTGTTTTATTTTATAGTTCATGACGTGTCTTCATTAACCACATAAAGTATGAATTTTATTATAATATAGGCTGATATTTGTCATGCAAATAATAATGGCATATTTTCAAAAGCATATCAAATTCTAGTCACACACATACATAAATGTTAATTAGCACATGATAAATTACGAAAAAATAAAATCACAATGTATCCCCTAAACCAAAAATAGAATAAACCTGATACTGGAAATAATTTTTACTTTGGTGATCTTTTTCTAGCTCTATTCAAATTTTCAAGAAAATAGAGTCATGAATTTAATTTCTAGTTCACAGAGTATATAAAGCAAATCTCACCTGAGGAAAATTTCCCTGAATGCACACATCTGCAGCATGGAAGCCTGTGTGTCATCATCATGAATGAACCTGTTTGCAATGAAAGACACATTTTTTTTTTAAGAATCGGCTATAATCAGGGGTGAGCAGGTGCAACACCAGCGAGCAGATCAGGGTTCCCATTGTGGTTACAGATGTGCCGATTCTGCATTTAGGACATTATATCTTACCTTACTTTTAAAAAGCTAAATAACCTTTGGAATTGCATGCAGGTTATTAAAGCAGAAGGGCAATTTTCTCTAATCTGTGAGCACAAATGGAACACAAATTGTTTAGCGGGAATATAGATGAAACTCTTCACCACTCCACATTTGAGAAACATAACAAATGTCAAAGAGGAAAATAAGTGTCTTATATGAATTCTTAATTGCTCTCATTTATTTATAGAACATTTGAGGGTGAGAGAAGTGATGAGCTGTAAGGAGGGTTACACACATAATTAAAGACTTGCACTGAATTAACCTCAGAACATATTGATTCCATAATCCACACACACAGGAATGTTCTGACAGCATATGGAGGAGTGAACCTACTGAGGCACCACAAGATCAACTGGCAGGAAATACCCCCCTTAATTTCTCTAGATAGACTATAATGTGTTCACATTGCTACATGCACTACAAATTATGCAGAAATTGAGAAGGAAGAGGACAACCATGCCCTAAAATTGTTGGTGTTTTATAGCTATTCAGACTTACACATCTTTCTGTCTTGTGAACTTTAACCTCACTGAAGAATTTCTGCATTCAAATTTGAAAACATACATTTACTATTTTTAAATATCAACTAAACAGTACAGTGTAATTTACTGTTTGCCAGGGGCAAACAGTATTTCTGGAGTTGAAACTTTATAGCACAGAACATCAGCCCAAATTTATAATATTTTTCCTTCATCCCTTATTGGCCTACCTTTCATCTCACTCCTTCCCCCTGCCCAAAATGGAATATTTTAGGTTGTGTATAGAATTCACATTCAATATTTATAGAATATCTATTATTTAAACTGTAACAGCATAATAATCAGAAATAACTATAAATGAATATTAAAATATTCCAATTATTTCACATTCAGAGTATGGCAAGAAAAATATTTTCAGATTAATTAATTGTCTTTCTCTGCCTTCAGGTATATGGACTTTTTCCCTACACCATCCAATGCCACAAGTGACTTTCTGTTTGAAAAGAGTGCTAATTACTTCCATTCAGAAGAAGCTCCCAAAAGAGCTGCATCTCTCATTCCCAAAGCCAAGATCATCACCATCCTCATTGACCCCTCAGACAGGGCATACTCTTGGTACCAGGTATGATCAGTTAAAAAATCTGCTCAAAGCATTTTTTTATAGCTTAAATGGAGGCAATGACAACCATAATACAACCCAGACACATGAAAAGTCAAATGTAAGAATATCTAACCCCCAACCCCCCACCAAAAAGTATGAGAAATAACAGCTGAATATTTAATTCATACCAAGTTGGCCAAGGACTTTCAAGCATAAAATAATGATTTAAAAAATTACAAATCAAAGAATTAATAAATTTTCTAAACCGTGTTGGTTTATCAAAAATTAACAAATTAAAAGTCAGTATCTAGAGAACCTTTAGCAAATACACGGGGAATGGCTCAGAGCCTTTATTTTGTAAAAGTTTCTTCAAATTTAATAAATAAATAAAGTATCAAAGTAGGAAAATAAGCAAAATGAACAAAAGGCACAGGTAAACAACCACACACAAAAACAACTGTCTGACAATTTATGTGAAAAATGATCAACCCAATTGAAGACCAAGTTTCACTCTATCACCCAGGCTATAATGCAGTGGGCTCCCTCTACCTCCTGGGCTGAAGTGATCCTTTTGCCTCAGCCTCCCAAGAAGCTGAGACTACAGGTACACATTACCACATTCAGCTATTTTTTTTATTTTTTTATATTTTTTGTAGCGATGAGGTTTCACCATGTTGCTTTGGTTGGTCTTGAACACTTGGGCTCAAGCAATCCACCATCCTCAGCCTCCCAAAATACTGGGACTACAGGCATGAGTCACCAAGCCCAATCCATTATTTTTTAATATCTTGACCGCAATTGTGATGCTTTTCCACGCTGTCAAGAAAGTGATTACAAAGGTTCTCAAATGTCCCAGTAGAACGTATACTGGGATATTTTCTGAAAACTCATTTGGCAATAATTACCAAAAAGGGTGTAAAGATATTTCGGTGATGTGATTCCCCTTCTGGAATTGATGATAAGGGAAACTTCAAAAAGATGGACAAATATTTCGGAACATTACAGCACTATCTACAAGCATAATAACAAAAGTAAAGTGCCCAACACTATAGATTTGTGTCATATTAAAATGGAATATTCTGCAGCATCATTTAACTATGGTTTTAATTAATAAAATTGTAGTTTAAAATGTCTATATTAATGTGTAAATATTAATTATTCATAAAGAATTGTAATTAAACATTGTGAATGTACTGTGAGGAAGCATGTAAAGGTACTTCGAAAACATTCTGCGTGCAAATAAACTTAAGACTTAAAACTGAAGGATGAGTAGACATTAACTGAGTGCAAGTAGAAGGAAGGTGGATTAGAGGACAGAGTATATGTGAAACACATTGGATATAGAAAATCAGATCATATTTAAAATGTTTTAAAAAATTAAATGTGGCTGGTGGAAAAATCCTAGGTAGAGACTTATAGGAAATGATGTGAATAGGCACACTAGGGATAGAACCATCTGGCTGCTGCCATTTTTTTGAACATCTGAAAGCCTTTGAAAAATGGTAGCCAGTGCGTGACTCCCAGATTATCTTTTAGAAAACATGAAATTATCTGCTATTTAAAGAAATTGGAATAGGACAAATGACTCTTTGAAGAAATCAAATTTGAGGCTATTGCAATAGACATGCTGAGATATGAAAACAGTGTAGACAAAAATGGTAAGTAGAAATTGAATGAAGAATAAGTATTCAGATATATTTAGAGATTAAAATCAACAGAATTTGATGAGGACATAGTATCTAGGATAAAACAAATTTCCAATCTGGGCACTTAGATGATGGCCATACATTCTCATGAAAAAGGAATCGCTGCAGGTTATAGGAGGTGGTGGGGTGGGGGGAGGCTCAGGACTGAAAAAATATAGATTATGATCATGATGAGTGAAATCCTTCATTATCAAAAGAACAGAAAAGTCAGCTGACCCTCTGGGGAGAGGTCTGAGCTAGAAACATGTATTTGTGAATCGGAGGTGTGAAGCCATGGCCGTGTAAAAGGTGAAATCGCCTAAGGAGAGAGTTTAGAAATGAAAAGTGCAAAGCAGGATGAGGTGCCAAGAAAGACAAGAAAATATAGCCAAAATAGAAGAAAAAAATTCAGGAGTGTAGTGACACTGAATCTAAGGGAAGGGAATGCTGCCAGATGGAGGTTGAAAACAATTCCAAAAAGCTGCTGAAAAATCAAACAGGCAAAGCCAAAGCAAAAGATGTGGAGTGAGATGGAGCCCTTAGCAACAGAGTAAAAAGAGCAAAGCCAGATGGATTTCGGTGAATGAATAAGTAATTGGGGGTGAAGAAATAGAGGCAGCACTTGCAAAACACTCCAAAGCATGATTTTGAAGGGGTAAAACAGGACCCAGTTTTATTACAAAGAAGTAGAAGTGGAATTGAGAAAATATTATCTGTATTAGTGGTGATTTGAATTATAATAAGTCATTTCCACAAAAAAAAAAGAGAGGTTAAAGGCCCAGGAGAGAAAATAGGTAACTAACTCTGTGAAGATACAAGAAAGCATGGCTATAGCAAATGGCTTAGATAGCAGGCCCAGGGAAGCCCTGATGCCTCTTAACTTTTCTTGTGCTGGGATTCCTCTAGCTCTCTGTTGAGTCCTACGAACATGTCAAAAATATATTTTAAAAGCATAAAACTAAATATATATACAAAAGAAACTGCAAAGTTGAAATGTGAGATACTTTTTCAATCAGTAACACATTTTTAAAATTAAATCATTAAATGAGAAGTTCTAATGCTGAGTCTAGTACTATAATAACTATGTAATAGCACTGACCTTAAGCAACATTTTGATACATACTTAGATATATCTGGTGTCTTATCATGAGTAATGGGATATAAAATAACTAATTTTTATTGGTGGTAAAATCACAACCACAGTACAATAAATACTGTGACTGTTTTCTACATTCACAATTAATAAAATGCTGAATTTCATTCAGAAATTACTGAAAACAAAGTGTATTTTTTTCTTTTGCTCATCCAAGTTCATAGACAAACTGTATTCTATTAACCCAGAATCCCTGGGTTGAAACTTAAAGAATAGAAGAGAGGATGGATGTAGATGCTGGTAAATTCAAAGTCCTGAGATACAAAAATTGAAGTGAAGTCTCTTCTTCCTTTAAGAAGCCTGGAATGAGTTAATTGATGAAAAAAGGGTGATAGTTTGAGGACACAGCAGTTTGAAAAGAGAAGAAGAATGAGAATATGAAATCATTGTACATTGGTGGGATAAAGCTGTCAACAAATGTAAATTTGCCTACAACAGTAATTGCATAATTGAAGCTGGTAATCTTGAAGGTATTAGGATAACAGTGTTTATATACCAAAATCCCAACGATGCATGTGCATTTTGTATATGTACAAATTTAGTGCACATATAAATTAATACCAAAGTAAAGAAGACTAAAGGGAAATTTTTAAAGAGTATAGTAGGATAATAAGTATTTTCATTTTTCCTTCTTTTTCTTGATTTTTCAAAATTTCCTTAATGAAAAATGTATTTTTTATTAAAGAATACATTTTGTATTAAAAATACATTTTTTTCAGTATTACTGAAAACAAATACTGATGTACAGAAAAATGTGACATTGCAACCTGGAAGGCAGGTAGTTGGGATCCAAAAGAAACACTTAGATTGGAAGCAAAATTTATAAATTACCATCAGAATCTATCTAATCCATGAGTCAGTATTTCCCACAAGATATAAGAATTATGTCCTTCTCACTTTGTGAACACTCATTGCAAAGCAAGATAAATGTATTTTTTAAGTATACCAAAACCATTAAAATGTGAAGCTTTAAAGTTTTGAATTCAAACATTTGAGAAAAATGTTGAGCATTTCCCTGGCAGAAAGCATGGTCACTACTTAGAGCAGATTTAAGTGAATCTTTTTTTTTCACATAGATTAAACCAGTTCAATAAAACAGAATCTTTATGATGTGTGTGCCTCTCTGTGCTTGCTTTTTCCAATAAATTCTTTGAACATATATAGAGGTTTGAAAGGAATTATTTTTTCTGATAATACTTTTTATTGCTGTATTGCAGTGAGTAGGGCCCCACACTGCTCCACATTTCAAAATAATGTAGCCTATTACTTAGCTAGTCCTGTCTATTCAGTAAATATCATAAATTCAAAGCTCAGCAGGTATAATTCAGAAACTCCTACAAATGTCACCTGCCAGTGTAATTTCTACCCCACATGTTTATAATGGACCTCACAGAGGAGCGATAGTGCTATTTTTCCATAAAATATGTCCCTGTGCGACTTCATGGGCATATTTTTATGCTAATCTACTTAGTTGCAGGAATACAAAGAAAAGTTGGTGCTAAACTGGAAGAAGTCAATATGGAACAGATTAAGCACAGTTTCATATTATCACTGCTTCAAAAAAATGTTTACATTACTGTATTAAATATGTATATAGTGTGTTTCTCATTCTTTATTGAAATTACATAATTTCTACACATTTTGTTAAACAATTATACAATCTATATAAGGTATATATCTATAAGGTACACACATGTAAAAACGTTAATAAATACACAACAATGAGAAGACTTCAAAGTGTATACCACTTACTAATTATTCTTTAACCATTTAAATTCCTAATCATCTTTACTTTTCTAGTTATTTTAATTTCTAGATAAATAAAAATTTATTTTTTCACCGATTCCCAATCATCTTTACTTTTCTAGTTATTTTTATTTCTAACTCACATATAAGACCCATCACTCACACATAAGGCCAGCCATTACATAGTCATAGCAGGGAACAATATGCTTCCACCATTACCCTACACTAGAACTTCTTCAAATTCACTTTTAGAATTCTCTCAACACTTATTCCTGCACACTTCATCAACCTTCACTTAACTTACCTTAGATGATAAATTCCTCTTAGTTTTCATATGTGTTTGGTATTTTTTTCTGATTATCACAATCTTTCTCATTACATTTTAGCTAAAAATCTTCAGCCATTGAAAAGTCCTTTCATTCGGCAGTCACAATTAATCACTTACTGGTCTGGCTGTCACAGCAAGTAACTTCTACCTGTAGTCAAGTAAACAACTTTATTCCATCTATTGTCTTCCACACAAGATCTTATTTATTTGAAGAGAGTGATTATGTCATATCTTTTTATCTCCAGGATCTATCTCAGATCTTTGTTACAGTAAGAAGCTTACAAAATGCTTGTTAAATTATATTGACTGTTAGATTTATCTCTCACTGAGCTGGGCTCTCTGCTGTTTGACCAATGATGATTTGGGGTGACACAGAGGATTTGACACTGAAAAGTAGAAGTGAAGCAATATTTGAGAATTAGCAGGATTAAGTAGAAATCCATGTGAGACCAAACAGAAAGGACCTTGGGTGATGTCAATATGAATATGACATCTAAAAAAGCATGAGGGAAAAAACTAGCACCTGCTACACAGGGATATTGGGGAAATGTTAGAACCTGAAGGAATGGCTGTAATGAAAGAACAGCCCAAGAAACATGTAAGACTATTCTTAAATAGACTATTTTTACGAAATCTAATTTTTTCATCAGGCTTGATTTATCTGGTCTCTGACATCTTCTCATTCTTAATAATATCCATGAAGAAAATCCTCGCATGCTATCTCTGCTTTGCACCTAACCACTTTAGACACAAATATAACCACAAATTTATGTGCACACCACTTGATAAATAGTGAAGCCTGTAATTTAAGGTACTTTCAAATAAGCAGTGCGCCAATGCTTGTTCTAATATATGCAGTTTCACTCTATTTCTTTTCATTCTAAAATTAAGTATTCAACTTTTTACTATTTTGTTGCATGAAGGACACACACACACCAAACACACACATGCACATGCCCACCCATACACATATGCATATCTACACAGGCATTTAAAAAAATCTAACTTTACAATTGACTTTCTCGTTAAAGCACCAACGATCACATGAAGATCCAGCTGCCCTGAGGTTCAATTTCTATGAAGTTATCACAACAGGACATTGGGCCCCATCTGACTTAAAAACTTTGCAGAGAAGATGCCTAGTACCTGGATGGTATGCAGTCCACATAGAAAGATGGCTAACTTACTTTGCTACTTCTCAGGTAATTCCTGAAATTACTTTCTTCTGTTTATTATATCATGATTGTATTGCACTGATAAGCAGAAAATGTGAATGAACATTGCCATAGATGGTGATTTATAGTCAGAAACAATGATAAGTAAGGAAAAAGATTACATTTTACATTTTTAATTTTATTAATACTATTAAAATGATAAATATCTCTAAACCACATTTTTGCAATCTCCTTTTGAACAGTAGCTAGTCTCAAAGTGATAAATTCTCATGCATGGGACATCATGTGAATTACAGGCAACAACTCTAAATGACCAGTACATCAGCCAGCTAGACAACAGCTTTATGGAACACCACATGCAGATACCTACATGTTGTTCGTTCTGTGTGGTCCTTATAAGGAAAGAGGGTCATATACTAGACTGCCAAATGGGGAGTGTTACAATAGCTACAGGAACATGAGCTAGACAAAGAAATAAGGATTTTAAAAATGCATCCATATCTTTTTTTTTAATTGGTCTTTTGTTACTATTATACATTAAGTTTTGTGATATATGTGCAGAACATGCAGGTTAGTTACGTAGGTATACATATGCCATGGTGGTTTGCTGCACCTATCGACCTGTCATCTACATTAGGTATTTCTCCTAATGCTATCCCTCCCCTTGCTCTCCACCCTGACAGTCCTGGGTGTGTGATGTTCCCCTCCCTGTGCCCATATACTTTTATTATTCAACTCTCACTTTTGAGTGAGAACATGCTGCGTTTGGTTTTCTGTTCCTGTGTTAGTTTGCTGAGAATGATGGCTTCCAGCTTCATCCATGTCCCTGCAAAGGACATGAACTCATACATTTTTATGGCTGCATAGTATTCCATGGTATATATGTGCCACATTTTCTTTATCCAGTGTATCATTGATAGGCATGTGGGTTGGTTCTAAGTCTTTACTATTGTGAATAGTGCTGCAATAAATATACATGTGCATGTGTCTTTATAGTATACTGATTTATAATCCTTTGGATATATACCAAGTAATGGGATAGCTGGGTCAAATGATATTTCTAGTTTTACATCCTTGAGGAATCACCACAGTGTCTTCTACAATAGTTGAACCAATTTACACTTCCACCAACAGTATAAAAGTGTTCCTATTTCTCCACATCCTCTCCAGCATCTGTTGTTTCCTGGCTTTTTAATAATTGCCATTCTAACTGGTGTGAGATAGTATCTCATTGTGGTTTTGATGCACATTTTTCTAATGACCAGTGATGATGAGCTTTTCTTCGTATGTTTGTTGGTCGCATAAATGTCTTCTTTTGAGAAGTGTCTGTTCATATCCTTCACCCACTTTTTGATGGGGTTCTTTGTTTTTTTCTTGCAAATTTGTTTAAGTTCCTTGTAGATTCTGGATACTACACCTTTGTCAGATGGAAAGATTGCAAACATTTTCTCCCGTTCTATAGGTTGCTTGTTCACTCTGATAATAGTTTCTTTTGCTGTGCAGAAGCTCTTTAGTTTAGTTAGATCCTATTTGTCAATTTTGGCTTTTGTTGCCATTGCTTTTGGTGTTTTAGTAATGAAGACTTTGTCCATGCCTATCTTCTGACTGGTATTGCCAGTGTATTATTCTAAGATTTGTATGGTTTTAAGTTTTACATTTAAATCTTTAATCCATCTTGAGTTAATTTTTGATAAGGCATAAGGAAAGGGTCCAGTTTCTGTTTTCTGTATATGGCTAGCCAGTTTTCCCAGCACCATTTTATTAAATAGAGAATCCTTCCCCATTACTTGTTTTTGTCAGGTTTGTTAAAGATCAGAGGGTTGTAGATGTGTAGTGTTATTTCTGCAGCCTCTGATTCATTTCATTGGTTATATTTTTGTTTTTGTTTTTTACGAGTACCATGCTGTTTTTGTTACTGGAGCCTTGTATCATAGTTTGAAGTCAGGTGCCATGATGCCTCCAGCTTTGTTCTTTTTGCTTAGGATCGTCTTGGCTACAAGTGCTCTTTTGTGGTTCCATATGAAACAGCAACATCAACACAAAGGACCGCACACAAAAACCCCATCTAAAGATTATCAGCCTCAAAGATCAAAGGTAGATCAATCCACGAAGATGAAGAAAAAAGTGAAAAAATGTTGAAAATTCCAAAAACTAGAATGCCTCTTCTCCTCCAAACTATTGCAACTCTTCTCCAGCAAGTCGCAAAACTGGATAGAGAATGAGATTGATGAACAGACAGAATTAGGCTTGAGAAGGTGGGTAATAAACTCCTCTGAGCTAAAGGAACATGTTGTAACCCAATGCAAGGATGCTAAGAACCTTGATAAAGGTTACAGGAACTGCTAACTCTAATAACCAGTTTAGAAAGGAACACAAATGACCTGACAGAACTGGAAAACACAGTATGAGAACTTTGTGAAGCACACACAAGTATCAATAGCCAAATTAATCAAGCAGAAGAAAGGATATTAGAGATTGAAGATCACCAAGAATATAAAGAAGCAAACAAAGCCTCCAAGAAACATGGGACTATGTGAAAAGACCAAAGCTATGATTGATTGGTGTACTTGAAAGTGACAGGGAGAATGGAACCAAGTTAGAAAACACACTTCAGGATACTATCCAGAAAAACTTCCCCAACCTAGCAAGACAGAACAACATTTAAATTCAGGAAATAAAGAGGCACCACTAAGATACTCCTTGAGAAGAGAAACCCCAAGACACATAATTGTCAGATTTTCCAAGGTTGAAATGAAGGGAAAATAATGTTAAGGGCAGCCAGAGAGAAAGGTCAGGTTACCTACAAAGGGAAGCCCATCAGACTAACAGCAGATCTCTCTACAGAAACCCTGCAAGCCAGAAGAGAGTGGGGACCAATATCCAACATCCTTAAAGCAAAAAAATTTTCAAACGAAAAAAAAAGAATTTCATATCCAGCCACACTTAGCTTTACAAACAAAGGAGAAATAAAATCTTTTCCAGACAAGCAAATGCTGAGGGATTTTTCACCACTAGGGCTGCCTTACAAGAGTTCCTGAAGGAGGCACTAAATATGGAAAGGAAAACCTGGCACCAGTCCTGCAAAACACACCAAAATATAAAGACCAATGACACTATGAAGTAACTGCATTAACTAATGTGCAAAATAACCAGCTAGCATCATGATAACAGAATCAAATTCACACATAACTATATTAACTTAAAATCGAAATGGGCTAAATGCCCCAATGAAAAGACAAAGATTGGCAAATTGGATAAAGAGTCAAGACTCATTGGTGTGCTGTATTCAGGAGAGCCATCTCATGTGCAAAGATACACATAGGCTCATAATAAAAGGATAGAGGAATATTTACCAAGCAAATGGAAAGCAAAAAGAAAGCAGAGGTTGCAATTTTAGTCTCTGATAAAACAGACTTTAAACCCACAAAGATCAAAACAGACAAAGAAGTGTGTTACATAATGGTAAAGGAATCATGCAACAAGAAGAGCTAAGTATCCTAAATATATATGCACCCAATACAGGATCACTGAGATTCATAAAACAAATGCTAAGAGACCTACAAACAGACTTCAACTCCCACACACTAATAGTGAGAAACTTTAACACCTCAATGTCAATGTTAGACAGAACAATGAGATAGAAAATTAACAAGGATATTCAGGACTTGAACTCAGCTCTGTACCAAGTGGACCTAATAAACAACTACAGAACTCTACACTCCAAATCAACAGAATATACATTCCTCTCAACACCACATAGCATATATTCTAAAATCAACCACATAATTGGAAGTAAAACATTCCTCAGCAAATGCAAAAGAACAGAAATCATAGTCTCTGAGACCACAGTGCAATCGAATGAGGACTCAGGATTAAGAAACTCACTCAAAACTGCACAACTACATGGAAATTGAACAACCTGCTCCTGGATGACTACTGGGTAAATAGTAAAATTAAAGTGTAAAAAAAAGATTTTTTTTTAAACTAATGAGAGCAGAGAGACAACACACCATGTCTCTGGGACACAGGTAAAGCAGTGTTAAGATGGAAATTTATAGCACTAAATGCCAACAACAGAAAGCTGGAAAGATCTAAAATCAACCCCCTAATATCACAGTTAAAATAACTAGAAAAGCAAGAGCAAACAAATTCAAAAGCTAGCGGAAGACAAGAAATAAATAAGACCATACGAGAACTGAAGGAGATAGAGACACGAAAAACCCATCAAAAAATCAACAAATACAGGAGTTGGATTCTGAAAAGATTAAGAAAATAGATGGACCACTAGATAGACTAATGAAGAAAAGACAGAAGAATCAAATAGACACAGTAAAAAAAAGATAAAGGGAATATCACCACTGATCCCACAGAAATACAAACTACCATCAATGAGTACTATAAATACTTCTGTGCAGATAAACTAGAAAATCTAGAAGAAATGGATAAATTCCTGGACACATACACCTTTCCAAGTCTAAACAAGGAAGAAGTCAAATACCTGAATAGACCAATAACAAGTTATAAAATTGAGGCAGTAATTAATAGCCTACCAACAAAAAAACAAAACCCAGGATCAGACCGATTCATAGCTGAATTCTACCGGAGGTACAAACAGGAGACGGTACCATTCCTTCTGAAACTATTCGAAGAAAATAGTTTGGGTATATACCAAGTAATGGGATAGCTGGGTCAAATGGTATTTCTAGTTCTAGATCCTTGAGAAATCACCACACTGTGAAACTATTCCAAACAATAGAAAAAGTGGGACTCCTCCCTAACTCATTTTACAAGGCCAGCATCATCCTGATACCAAAACTTGACAACACAACAACAACAACAACAAAAAAAAAACATGTCTTTTCTACTCTGTCTTCCAGGTCAGGGCAAATTGAAGCCCTAGCAGGTGGGCCTCACCATTGACATTTTTTCCAGTATTCCTTCAACAATTACAATACTACAGGGCAGTGATACAATGATCAGTAAGAGAGGGACAAACATTTCCCTCTTCCCTCTGTCCTTAAAAAAAAAAAAAAATTAGATGAATAATTTTCATTTGGATGACCACTATTTCTGAGCCCTAAGCTCCAGGGTTAGTTAATAGGAATTTGGTAGGCTGGATAATTATCTGATACACAACAAATGGAAAATCATGTTTCTACTGAAGTACTAGATCAAGAAAGTGTCTATGTTTACTTCTGATTTACAAAAAGCATGTTAAGGGCTATAATTTGATAATTCACAAGAAATGATGCCTATGGCAGACTTCATTGTTTTTGTGAAAGGATGTAAGGATAATACATATTCAAATGTATTCTAAGGAGGGCATATTTGCTTCCTATTCACACTGACCTAATTTATGAATGCCACACCAGGTAAAGGAAGATCACACAGTCTATTCAATTTACTTTTGTTCTTCATAAAGTAGACTATTTTTGACTTTACAGTTGCTAATTATTGATGGACAGCAGCTGAGATCTGACCCAGCTACTGTGATGGATGAAGTTCAGAAGTTTCTGGGAGTTACACCTCATTATAATTATTCTGAAGCACTAACGTGAGTCTATTATCATGCTTGATTTCATTTCCATTATTTTCCATCATAAATTATCACTGGTAGGTGTGTATATAACATCATTAATACTAACTATGAATGCATGCATCAAAAGCTATCTACAAGCAATCAAAGGAGTATCCTCATTACTCATGTAGTGTTTCTCTTTTAAACACCAGAAATACTTTATTTTATAAAGTATATTCTATATTATGGCAAATTCTTCTTTTCGTGAGGTTTCCCTGTGTAAGTTTGATTAAGTAAATTTTTTACATGCAGAAAGCATCCTAGAAATTTAGATTACAGAGGCGAAAAAGATACTGTCTCTTCTTCCAAGTAATTTACAGGTTAGAAATGAAATGCAATATTTAGGGCAAAATTGGGAAATGAGTATATTCATGTTTTATTCTGTATTTATTAAATTATTTATACCAAAATATAATCATGTATAGTGTTCTAGCTATTTATTGTTACATGACAAACCATCCCAAACCTAATGGCACATAATGACCATCATTTTATTATGCTCATGGAATCTGTAAGTCAGGAATTAGACATGATACAGAAAGATGGCTTGTCTTTGCTCATGATGCCTACAGCCACAGCCTGGAAGACTTGAATACCTGGGTATGACTCACATGACTGGGCCCTGAAATCATCTGGAGTCTCCTTCACTCACATCTCTGAATCTTGGACTGAGATGGCTCAAAGGCTGAGATGAGTGGGTTGAAGTCTTTCCATGAGGCCTCCCTGGATAGCTTGGCTTTCTCACACTGTGGTGGCTGTGTTCCAAGAGGGAGCAATAAGTCAAGGGAGTATGGTGGTCCAAGACAGCCAAGTCCTTCTCTGACCTAGACGTGCAAGTCACACAGCATTACTTAGGCTGCATTCTATTTGTTAAAATAGTCACTAAAGAGATCCAGATCCAAGGGGAGCAAAACAAGACTGCACCTCTTGATGGAGTGGGCAAGGTCACCAGTGGGAAAGAATGTGGGATGGAAGATATGGTTGCTGTCATCTTGAGAAAATAAAAGCGTTTATTTTTGTAATTTAAAAATGGGGAGAAATGTAAAAGAAGCAAAATGGCAAACAAAAACAAGCAGCCAAAATGTACCTTAAAAGGGCATGTACTTTACTTGTAAAAGACTCTCCCACGATGCCTCATATAAAGCTTGTTAAATTTTAGACAAACTTCTAACAAGCCCAATTGTATAATTCCCCAGTTCACAGCAGATTAGAATCAGCAATTAGACAATTAGGGAGGCTAACAGAGGGACAGGAAAAGCAGTAATAAGATTGGGTTGTTCCTTATCCAGTAAAACAACCTTAATGAAGTTTTTACCTACACATGGAAATAACAGCACAAGGCATATTCCTGTTAATTAAGTAAACAAAGCTTCCTATAATATGTTTGTATTAATAGTTACTGATGTTGTCTTTCTTCCCCTGCCTCTCAGCAGTAGTTAAGGTAATGTTTCTATCCTGTTTATGACAAATAGTTGCTTTCGGTTCAATAAACCTGCAAAATCATACTTTTGAAGGAGAGATTACAAACAAGTACATAATATATGGTTTTAATATGTCTCACACATCACAAAAATTAATAACTATAGTGATGTTCAGTAGAATAAAAAGCTCAAACAGCAAACAACTCATGTACTAAAAGGTGTCTAACAGTTATATTGAGGAAGGCTTTGCATCTTAATTTCACAATTTCATGCCTATTAAAGTAAAACCATAAAGCAATGAATTGATGTAACTTAGGATAGATGTCCTTTGTTACACATAAGGCATATGAAGTTGCCAATGCAATAAATGAAACCAGGAGAACAAAATCATGTAGATTCAAGGTTATGACAACCCTATCTAAAAAAATGACTTTCAATATTCTGGATGGCTCTCCTTTCTCTGATTGTATTAAACTGTGCCTCACAACAGCTGCTGCAGAAAGCAAGGAGAGACCACAGCCCATCCTGAGACCTTGGCACTACCTGAGAGCAAAGGAGATGCTCTCAGCATGTGTATAAATATCTTGACTTTGCTACCAGGGGCCGTATTTTACCTTAATGCAGTTAAATATTCTCATCCTGAGGCAGAAAACGCTGTTTAGGGACACTGTTATGCCGACTTCCTCATCTCATTTTATACAGCATGCTGAATTGTATTTCCTCTTGGGAAATTAATGAAAACAGGAGAAAGGACTGTGGTAGGCAAAGAGCAGATTGAAAAGTCCAGGTTAGAAATGACTCTGTCTCTCTTTTATCCATTTAACTAGTGATGTATTTAATTTTAATTTACAACATGTACTAGGACAACTTGGATTGCAAGGTTCAGGTCTCTAATAATAGGTTGGGCAGGGAACTGTGAAGGAAACTTCTCTCTCCCCCAAAATGAATTCACATATGTGCAGAGGCAAACTGCAGGTGCACCGGTATTATAGGAATGGGCCCAGGGCAACGAAATATTCTGCAACTAATTAACTTTACATCCCAGTCAATTATGCTTCATCTTTCTAAAACATCTGCTGAGCAACAAAAATGCAAACCTTTTTGATGTTTTATGCATGCATCAAGTTCCGTAGTAATGAACTTAAAATTTCCCTTCTTATTTGGTTCATTCTTCCATTTTTCCTATCTTGTTAGTCCTAAACAAAAATCCTTATATATTTGGCTTTTAAAAACTAATTAGGCCACACATCCTTTCTTTTGTAACTCAGTGCAGGTGGGGAGCAAAACAACATTAGAGTTTTCTATAAGAGTATAGGTACCAAGGCCAGGCACAGTGACTCAAGCCTATAATCCAAGCACTTTGGGAGAATGAAGCGGGTGGATTCCCTGAGGTCAGGAGTTTGAGACCAGCCTGGTCAACATGGTGAAACCCCCTGTGTACTAAATACACAAAAAAATTAGCCAGACATGGTGGTCCATGCCTGTAATCTCAGCTACTCAGGAGGCTGAGGCAGGAGAATCGCTTGAACCCGGCAGATGGAGGTTGCAGTGAGCCAAAATCACATCACTTCATTCCAGCCTGGGTGGCAGAGTAAGACTCTGTCTCGATGAAAAAAAAAAAAAAATTATAGGTACCTGGTTATCCAATAGATTATCTGCCTTTAGCAAAAGAAGTAAGAAGTTGTCTAATCTTCCACTTTATTTTTACACTTCTAATTTGTTTTTAAAAAGTGTAGGCCGGGCGCGGTGGCTCACGCCTGTAATCCCAGCACTTTGGGAGGCCGAGGCGGGTGGATCACGAAGTCAAGAGATCGAGACCATCCTGGTCAACACGGTGAAACCCCGTCTCTACTAAAACTACAAAAAATTAGCTGGGCATGCTGGCGCGTGCCTGTAATCCCAGCTACTCAGGAGGCTGAGGCAGGAGAATTGCCTGAACCCAGGAGGCGGAGGTTGCGGTGAGCCGAGATCGCGCCATTGCACTCCAGCCTGGGTAACAAGAGTGAAACTCCGTCTCAAAAAAAAAAAAAAAAAAAAGTGTTAGCATTTGGAACTGTAAAAAAATACAATATTTTGCAAAACTGAAAGCTTTAATTCATGTTTGTATTCACAGAAGTATAGCTATATTACATTCAACCCCTTTAATGTATACTGATGAATGACTTCAAATAAATTTGTTAACATATCTTTGAAATCATATCCATAAGTAAACAAAATATCCTAACGTTCCTTTGTATAATGGGCTGTAATTTTAGTGATTGGTCTTTGATCTTTTATGAATAGGTAAGCTAAGGAACTTGTTGAAAATTTTAACATAAAATTAAACTAAAGGTCTATGTCTTTTTTCATTAGAGTGTTGCTACTTAAAATAGATGATAACATATAACTTCTTTCATCTCAGCCCCTCTCGAATCAGCTAAATACATGTCTGTAAAAATAAGCATATAAAAACATATTTCCTTTATTCAATTGGTGAGACTCTTTCACTGAAAATTCCATATACAGTTTATAATCATTCTGTTTTTTATGTATTGTAGGTTTGATCCCCAAAAGGGTTTTTGGTGTCAACTACTGGAAGGAGGAAAGACAAAATGCCTTGGAAAAGGAAAAGGCCGAAAATATCCACCTATGGATCCAGAGGTAATATTCTCTTAATCTTTGAATTACTCTAGCAAAAATGTTTGCAAATAGCTATTAAAAACTAGTAACAATCAATTTCCTTATTTTTTCTGCTCTTTCTTTGCCATTAATAATTTTATATACTTAGAAGATGATAGAGGTAATTGACACACAGATAACGGATAGATAGTAGATAGACAGATAAATAGATGAGATAGATGAGTAGATAGATACAAGGATTAATACACATTCCTAGAAATTCTTTGCTGTTTGAATACAATTCAAACATAAATATTTACTGAAAACTGACTCCTTTCCAAATGCTAAAGTGCTTAAATAGTTTACTAAACAAGTGATTTTGGATAGAATATTCAAGCATTATTATTATATATTCAATACAGATATCCAATGCCTATATCACAGGTGGAACTGAGCTAAGCAATGGAAAGAATACAAAGATAAAAGAGTTATGAACCCAGATTTATTACAGGACAAATAAATTAGTTCTATGCATTTATTCGTAATAGGGACATAAAACATAAAACAATGATAAAACTAGAAAAAGGCAGGAAAATATCTCAATAGAAGAATAGAATATGAGAAGAAATGCCTTATCTAGTAGATTAGGCTTGCAAAACCATCCAGCAGTTGGCTCAGCCAGGTATCATACTTATTTCTCTTATGGCAAGGTGGGCAAAGGGGTGCAGGTGATTCATGGGTTACTATAGAAATAGATGTACCAGAAGGTGCTTAAACTATATTTTTGAACACAATAATTTCAGAAAATCACTTTAATCCACCAAGAAATCAATGTAATGTTCCCACTACTACTATAAACATCTTATCCGAAATGTGAAGTGTTTGCAATCTGGTTTAAGGGAAGAAACATAATGAAATATCTGGTGAATGGTCCAAGATGAAATGTAGTTGTCTTAAATCCATTTCTACAGTATACACAAAAGTTGCTAAGGGAGTTTTACATGGAAAGGCCATTTGTGTTAAAATATTGAGGAGGGCTTAAGAGAGATGGAGGAAGTTGGGCCAAATGGAAAACAATGAAGGAGCCATTGTTACCTATGCCAGCAACAGGGAAAGGGTTTATCTCTCATTTTATCAAAGAGACAAAACTCTCTGCAAATTGGGTTATAATATGAGATAAGTGACACCCAGAAAGAAATTCCAATCTATGTAAATGAAAGAGAAATATAAAACTAAAATCATTCATTTGTTTTACTTAGAGTTTCTCTAATAAAGGCCCATCTCTGCAGCCTGATTAGAAATATAAGAAATTATATTTAAAATGAGTCAAGCTTCAGAGACCTTATAATATTTTGGAAGCCAAAAGCTCTTAGTGACTAAAAAAAATATATTTCAGCCCTCAGTAAATGCAGAAATATTGTACGTAATATTGCAAATTATTATTTGTAATAGTGAATTTTAGTTTTTATTATTATGCTCTCATTTAATTTTTGTCCTATGGTCCAGTTTTCAAATAAAATGTATGTATGTTTATCTAGCTTACTTCTGTAAATTTAATTCCTCATGAGGTCCCTATCCCATTTATCTCTAGTATTATACACCTGTCATCGTTTTTTCTTCGTGTGGAGACTTCATATAACCCACAATAAATACGTGCTGTAATGACAGATAAGCCACATACAATGTACCTGGTCCTATTTCTGTTTTGCAGATACACATTTGCCAAATATTTTCAAAAGGTAAAAATAACTGATACTTGAGGAAAAATACAAGAAATATGCGGTAGACCCCTTTATTATAATAGACACATTCCTTAAGAAATATACATTACAAAATCCTGTTTGATGAAACGAACAGCTTCTTTTAAGTTCTTCTTTTTTCTTTTTTTTTCTTTCCAGTCTAGAAGTTTCCTCTCTAATTACTACCGAGATCATAACGTGGAACTATCCAAACTGCTACACAGACTGGGACAGCCTCTGCCATCATGGCTGAGACAGGAGCTGCAGAAAGTGAGATAGCACTGGAGACAAGAACCAAACCTCTCAAGATACTTTTAGTGTTAAAAAAACAAAAAAACACAACCTTTATTCTCAAGCACTTGTGATTGTCAACAAAGAAATGTGTGAATAAATTTCCTTCAATCTTTTTCATAAAACGAAAACTGTTATATATGCACGCACTGACAATTACTATCATCAATTCCTGTGTAAACTTTTGGAAGATAATGTGGGGGGTTGTGGCATTATCCAGTTTCTAGTGTAGCGATCATAGCACAGCCCATATCCTATGTTAAGCATAAGGTTTCAGATACTCTATATATGACTGATAATCTGTATTATATACAAGTGATCAATTAAATTTTTGATGTAAAAATAAGGACTGAGGTATCCGTAAATGAAGTTAGTAGTAATTCAATATTTGAGTTAAGGGCTAACGTCTTCCCCTTGAGAATTTAAAAACAATTTTGCTTTTATGATGAGAAGGAATTATGTAATCCCATACTCTCATTTTTGAATAATTATTCTTTATTATATCAGCTTACATTTTTTTTCTGCAGTGACTCCTCTTTATTAATTTTTTGACTTGCCAAAAAAGTTGTGAAGTTATAGTTTCCCATGTTGTTTGTTTTTCTCCTGTAAGAGGGGACTATCTAAAAGCTTCCATATTCACTGATATTATTTTATCTGGCAACACATGCCTTTTCCAGTGAATTTGTCATTATAATTCCAGCAAAACCTGTTAAAGTTTTTTGGAAAAAAAAAGAATGTGAAACTGTATAATACCACTGTTACGTCTAAGGCTATCTTTAAGTGGGTCCAGAATATTACCATACTATTAATCTAGATATTTCCACCTTGATAATGATATAGTATTTATATATTTTTCACTCTATGAAGTATTTCACTATTATAAATAAAGCTTTATTGATAAAATATGAAATGAAAACACCAAGATGTGTTTGCAGATATAGTGAGGCAGTGTGCCTTCTATGTAGTGTATGTCAATCTTTTTAAAGCATGGATTTTTTTCATATATATCAATACATCTACTATCGTAGAAGATTATGTTTTTAATGCCTATTTAAAAATATATGTATAATCCAAATCTTACCTCTTGAAACATCACTAATTCTCTAACATAAACCCAATTTCTCAGCTACTCCACCCAAATGTTTATTTCTGGAGAAGTGATGTTCTTTCTGTTTAGAGTTATAGATTCTTTTCTTATTTAGAGGTTATTGTAAAGCTAGTTGGATTTTTATTTCATTCGTCAAAGATGATATATTAATAATTTATTAAATTTTTCAGTAATAGATGAAGGTAAAATTTCAGCAGAAAAATAAATCAAACTGACTTTGATAACATTACCCAACAACCTATTCTTCCTCCAGAGTAATTTTTCTATTGGCTGTAGATAACACTACTTTTTCTTATAGTTTGAGAAATTATGCTTGCAATAATAGCAAATCAAAGATCTGTATTTTTCTTTCTTTCTTTGTTGCTGTTGATTTTTAAGTGAACACATCAAATTTATGTGTTCTAATTTAGGGATTCAGCATCCAACTTTACATTTATACTTCATTAAGATTGTTAGTTTTCCTATTGTTTCTCAGCAAAAGGATCTTGATCTTTTTCAAAAAATGTAACACTTTTCTTGTACATGAATTAATATAAATCACAAATACGTTTGTTGTTCCTCTCTGTTAACTGTGAGACTCAAATTCTCCACCTTGTTGTTACATGAGTAAGTGTGTGCTTCACAGTATTTTATTAAACACACTAAAATCAAAGTAACTATATTTACAGCTCTAACATTTGATTGATTTATTCATTAGTTTCCTCCAATCTATAATTCTTTCTTTTTAAAAATAGAGATTAACTTTTTTCAAGTGGGATAAAAATAATATTTAAAGAAAAAAAGGAAATTCTTTTACATCTCAAGTACAATCTATGTAACTCAAGGTTCTCCATCTTATCACCTGCTATTTAAAAGTATAACTTATTTTATTCAATTGTTATTGTTTTCTAAATAAAGTATACGTATCAGTTAGCTGTCTACAGATATGTGGGAGCAAAATTTGCCCCAAACTCAACTAGTCTTTTCAAATTGATTATTTTAATCAGTGTGAATATTTTTTTCATTAAGGTTGATAGTGAAGAAAACAAAAATAAATTTTCATTATATAATTAATCTTCATCTTACAATAAGCTATTAAAAGGAACTCTGGGCTGTGAGATTATAATAAATAAGGAAAAAATTAATATTTAATAATATCTTATTTTTCCCAATTTTTACCCATGGCTGTTACAGAATTGTTGACTCAAGATTTTAATACGTGTAATTTTTTAAAACGTTAAATAAATTTGATCTCACGGTCTTCAATAATATATTTTTTAGTGGTCACAAATTTTATTTATGCTATCCATAAATAAAAAAGTGACTACAATGAAGTTACAGAAATGGAGAATTGTAGTTCTTAGGCTAAATTCAGGCTTAATTTTTTTTTTTATTTTTTCTAATAAATGTGAGACATCACAATCCATAGGCAAAGCAATTAAGTAGAGAAGTATATGCATCTCCCAAATAAGGTGTCAAATTTTCAGTGGTATCTATTCCATAGTCAGTATAAATACAGAGATTGTGTCACAACAAACGCCATGATAAAACAGCATGGTGGGTCATAAAGCAAAAGAAGTTCCTCAATAAATATCACTGTGAAATAACAATACCTTAGAATTCTATACATCTTCTTCTCCATTTTGAATGACATACTTTCTTAAAAATTCTAAAGCAAGCTAGTTTCTCTCCTTTCCTTTTTTTAATAATCCAATTCAGATATTCATTACTTCACATTGATAAAGGCAAAAACAGTATTTGATTGTCTTTGTCAAAATGTGTGCTTATCAAGTAACAGTCTCTAAAAATCGTCTTACAAAACTCATCCCAAACGAAATTTGTTTGTATTTAACAATGGCTCAAAGGGAATTAAATAACAAGGAAGAATGCTAGTGAGAAAAATGTATACTCTTTTTATCACGTATTTTTGTAGAAAAATAGCCTTTAGTCTCGTATGAGACTTTGTAACCCTCAATTTTAACAAACCTATCAATTTACCCTGTAGTTTTGGTTCTTCCATCTCACTGTTTTAATATAATGTGACACATTTACCATGAGTACTGCTTCATTTTTAATTACTGACAACAGTTTTTAGAGGGAAAGATATCTTAAAAGTTCAGTTTCTGGTGGCTAGAAAATATAATTGTTTCCTTGATGGAGGTACCTCAAAAATAATGCTAGCCCAATATTCCAAAAAGAAAAGAATCTATTAGTCCTCCAAGTATAATTTTCTTTCAAGAATACGAATACAGCTTAGTTATGGACACACACACACACACACACACACACACACACACACGCCTTATATGCATATATGTGGTGTCTGAGAAACTTCAACTAGTTTTTGACCACTGAAATTATATTTTCTGTGTCAGCTATTGAGGCGGGTGGGAAAAGCAGAGAGAGAGAGAGCTCTGTATTTACTAAAATTGTTAAAATAACTGATGTAGTACATGCATAGCATATCATTGGTTCTCACTTCCTCAGAATAAATACTACTGCTGGTATGGTCACTCTAGACATATTGTTTCTCCTCTGAAATCCAAGGCTTTAATCAATAGTTGATTCTTTACCTTTTTTTTTTTTTTTTTTGGTCTTTCTTCACTGTATACATATTCCCTGAATTTTAAACCCTTAACAAGGATAACCACAAGATTCTGAGAATAGGCTTTGGATATCTGAATTCTCATCCAATTTCTACCTCTTACTAGCTACTAGCTGGGTGGCCTTGAACAATTTGTGGAACTTTTCTAAGCCAGTTTGTAAGAAATAGACAACAATTACTCATTGGGTTTTTGTAGACATTAATTGAAAATATGTTTAAATAACTTAGCACAATACTGATGCAGTTGTACGGGAACATGTTAATTACAAAAATATGTAAAATTTGAATCATTCTCTCTTCATTTATCACAAAGAATATGTTTTTCTACTCCTTTTAAAATAAAACATATAAATCTTAAACATATAATTATATGTGGTCAAAATAGGAAATTGCCTTCCTCATCACTATCCAAAAAGAAATTTTGTGCTTTTCCTCGTTATTTTTCTGATAACATTAACAGCAAAGTAGCCTCATCTGAGTCCATTTTACTAAAGTCTCTTTCCTTTTCCTCCTATCTATTCATCAGTCTATTCAGTAGAATATCTCCCTGGTACCTTCTCTTTATCACTCTCTTAAATTCCTTTGCAACCCAACACATATTCTATCAAGAATACCAGATCTAGAGTTGCAACTTCCTCAAACCAAAGTCACAAAATTAAATGACAGCATATTAATCATATGAAGACATATATATAATGGAGGCATATATAATAAAGAATCAGTACCATCAATTTCTAAATCACTAAAAATTACAAGAAACTTTTTCTGAATTATCCATGTTTTTATCATTAATGTCACCTTTTTCTAGTAAGATCTTGCCACAAATAGAAATGATTTATTATATTTAAATATATATTTTATTACATTTATTAATGTCAAACACTGTTGTTTTCTACATTTTTAAACCTGAAAATACACAACATTTCATGCTTGAAATAAGACATTTATACACATGATTAATTTCCATTCCAAAACTGTATTGTTTTTCTAATGTCTAAAATCTCAAATATCACCAAAGCCTGGCATATAGTAGGTAGCCAATAAAGGTTAGTTAACCTATACTCAAGTGTGTTCAACAGTACTGTTTTACTTAACCCTTTTATATATTTTGATGTACACCATCCACCTTTTCAGTTTGCTCTACGTTCTAACTCTGGAAATTTTATTCATGATTTTAGATGCCAGAACTACTAACTCCCAAATCTGTATCTTCAGCCCCAAGGTTCCTCATGAATTCCAGACCTATCATCCATCTTACACTGTTCACCTTCAACTAAATAACTGCCTGATATCTCAAATGAGCACATCCAAAATCATCATGCGCTTTCCAAGTAAAGTCTCTGCTGCTTCTC